ACACACACACACACACACACACACACACACACACACACACACACACACACACACACACACACACACACACCTAGCACCGACTAACTCCGTCTCACTCACCTATGTCACTGATGGGCGTGCGCACCTTCCCGTCGGCACTCGACCGCGACCCCGCCAAGTTGCTCGGTGAATGCACGCGAGAGGCGCCATCTGGCTCCCAGAATCGCGGCGGCTTTGTCGCGCGCGGGAAGGAGGAGCCTAGCTGCAGTGGCTGCCGGTAAGAGGGGACGGGTGGGACGCCGCCCTCTCCCGCCCTCACCCCCATCGACGCCGTCCGCGGGTACGTGAGACCTGAGAAAGATTATTAATCATACATTTGCAAAGCCGCCACACAGAAATTTGTCCAAAACAGCGCCTCGCTGACGAAACTTTTGACAACTTGAAAAAGAGATTCAAGAGTCTCATAGAATGTATTCAGCATAGCTTAGAATGCACCAAATTCCACCATTTTTTCAAAGATTTCCGGGGGAGCATGCCCCCGGACCCCCCAGCCTGGCCAGCACCTGCGCTGCTCGCTCTTGCTAAGACCCCGAAATGCACAAACACATCCCAAAAAACATTTACCACCTCATAGACCTTTTTGGCCAGGGGAAACACTGTATATTATATTATATATTCAAACTAATAACTACCTAACACTTTTTGTAGAAGACTTGTTTTACATGAATCGTCCGTCGTACACCATCAAAACAGCGTTGTAAGTTTACACAACACTTGTACTCCGATAGTTACAATAGTACGACAATTACCCTGCGCATAAATTTAGCTACCCACAGCGCACACTCTATCATTATACTAATACTACTAATACTAGTAATACTACTAATACTAGTAATACTACTAATACTAGTAATACTACTAATACTAGTAATACTACTAATACTAGTAATACTACTAATACTAGTATTACTACTAATACTGTTTCGATTACTAACACTACCACTACTACCACTACCACTACTATTAAACTGCAACTATTAGATTTAACAACTAAATATTAACGTTAGCACTAAATTAGCATTAATTAATTTGATTGCGTATCGGTGGCTCCCCCATACACTACACACTTACCTGTGTTTCGGCGCCGGTGCTGTGAGCCGGGACTGTAGGTGGCGCCAACCGACATTCCGCGCGAAGCTGGCCCGGTGTCCGACCTCGCCGCACCCCGCCGCCACGCCCGCTTCTGTCGGGATGTTCTTCCAGTCGTTCTTCGGCTTCTCCTCGACCGACGCCTACCGCCCTCCTCCTCCTCCTCCTCGTCGGACGATGGGAGGAGGCGAGGTTTCAGGTCAAGCGTCGGAAAGTTCGCTGTCGGCACTCGGCACGACGTCTTCGGTGACGATTGCGCTGCTGCTTTGGGGTGACACACTTTCACCTGTGTCCGCATTTACAGCAGGACAAAGCAGTTGACGACCCGGGTCGAGAAATCAACAGGTGACAGGTTGCGATGTAGTGAGAAATCACAGTGTGACAGGTGGGATGTAGTGGGTTAGGGTGGACACACGCTTACCTGTGCCGATCTACAGCAGACAGGTTAACGACGCCAGGTGAGAAATCACAGCCTGCAGGTTATATGACTGTTAGAGTGAGGAAATCACAGGGGTGGAGCAGCGTATGAATGTACGGTGAGAAATCACAGTGGATAGGTGCGATGTAGGTGAGAAATCTAAAATGGAGAGATATGGCCACAGACGAATAACACTCACTAATTGAGATTTTCTTATGAGGCATTCACTATAAGAGGCATATATATTCACATATAGTATAGTAAGTAGAGGCATTAATCACTAAGGCGTAAATCTAACATTCACTGTGGAAAACGACATGTCATCGATTCACAACATAACAGGTAAACGTTACTACACAACATGCAGTATATACACATACTATACAATACGTATTGTCATACACATCTAGCACTCACTGTGGAAAGCCGACACGTTGCTTGTTCTTGTAACGGAGCGCGCCTCCGGCCGACGGCGCCCCCTGGAGGCCGCTCGCGACGTTCAGCAAACGCTTTCGGAGCTGACGGACGTGCTGGTGCTCGGTGCTGGCCGAAGGTGGCACCAGCGTCGGGCCGGTACAGCCGACCGTGAGGCTCTCTGTCTTTCCCGCGGAGTGATCGTCTTGACGTCGTGCGAACGCGGATGTTGATCCTGCAGACCGTCGACGTGCGTGGTTTGTGGTACTGCGAGTGCTGACCTCTAGTGGCGGGGAAAACAACGAAAAAAGTTACGAAGGCGTCGTCGACGGATGTCTGAACGCCATAAATCACAAAGTTATGGAGCGGTCTGAGAGAGAGTGATCGAGTAGTCTGACGGCACAGAATAAAGAGTGTGCTGACATTGGTTAAAAAATCTTCAGGTATTTTGCTTGAATCAGAAAAAGAGGGGAAGGAGAGGAGGAAGCTGGCCTATTTAGGGCCACATTTTTAGGGGAATATTTAGGGCCTAACTTAGGCCGAGAGCACGAGAGAGAAGAGAGAGAGAAAAGATAGGAGAGAAAAGAAGAGAGAGCGAAGAGAAATCTCAACTAATCAAGGCGAGAGCTAGAGCTACCTGCGGGCAGCTCTGCTATCCGTGGCGAGATACCGTCATCAAACTCCTCCTCCTGACCGCGGAGCGCGCCCATTGTCTACCTCAGTCCACTCGTACCTGAGGAGACGCAAACCAAAACAAGCGACCATGAAACCGCGTTGCCCGCCGACAATGCGCCACGCGAACATCGAAATCATTACCGACCATGTGGCACTTTTGTGGTGGCAACGCTTAAAGAGTTAAGGTGAACGACAACTCATCAGTTTTCTGAACAACGCCCCCAGAACTGTGTAATTACTCATGTTTCTGACAACGATCCCCCCAATAACTTTGTAATTACTTATCATGTTTTCGACAATGACCCCCCCCAGAATTTATCATGACGTTAGAGCTGAACACGTTTGTTCGGTGACCCCACCTACGCTCGTCACCGCCGCACACGCAAGTCTTTATCCTTTGCTCGCGTGTAGCCGAAGTCGATCACTATGTGTCGCTTACCCGCTTGTGAAGAGCAGTTGGAAAGATGAGGATGGCGGAACAAATCTCCTGGGAAGAGCGTGAAGATCGCAAAACAGATAGAATGGAACGTGTGATGTTGCAGTTCACGGCGAGGAGGACGAACGCCATGCGTCACGTCCCTAAGGCAAACGGACCAGCGAGGATCACGCCGCAGCTTCAGACCACGAGTCCTACGGAGAAACAGGAGGGAGATAGTTGCGATGGCATACGCAGCCTACAGCTACTATAACATTGATGTGTATATCAGTTACATGTGATTAGGTGGTGTACATGAAGTAAATGGGATGTGATATGTTGCTGGCATATGCATCCCTAACCCTAAACTAACATAATGTAAAACATCAATTACAATGTATAAGGTGAATATATGCTGTCTTAAGGGGATGTCAATAGTTGCATGGCGATACGCGAATGCAGCCGCTGACCCTGAAGCTAACAATGGCGTGCTACATCAGTCCGGTTGATTAGCCCAATATTAATGATGTCTTAAAGGAGGTGTGTGATAGTTTGCATGGCATACCACGGCATACCTGAACATGCTGAACTGGCGTACTCCATGGTGGTGCTTCTGGCCTCACTTCAACATCACCTGATTGCCAGACTCGAACGTGACGATGGTTCATCTGAAACGATGGACAGAAACATTTGAAGTCAAGGGTACCATGAGCATACGTTTAGCTACGCGCCACACTAGCCAGGCAAGTCTTTGCTCTGATTTTGCGATACATCTTTTGTATCAGTCTTAAGTGCTGGAAGGTGTGATCGGTTCACAAAACATGATTTTTGCGCGATTATATAGTGATTTCACGGAAAATTGAAGTTTGAGAGTTAAGGTACACATTTTAGTAACTGCTGCGCACTACTATGGGTTTCTAAAGGCCGAATTACTCACAAGCATACAATGGCACAGACTGCCCCACAAAGCTCCAGATCAGGCTGTCCTCGGTAGACAGCCAGCAACTGCGCACAGGAAATAAAAATACAAGCGTTATAAAAACCCATTTTTGATTAGCGTATAACCGCCGAATGCAATGCCAACCCTATATTATAGAAAGATCACTGGTAAGCATACACAGATGCCATGCATATGCTTAGTATCGGGAATTTAGCAGTCGTGTAATTATTATTTTATATTTATTGTATAATTATTTATTATTGTAAATATTATTGAGTCGAGTTTTTTTTTCAGTTTGATGTTACATGTATTTTGAAGCCTGTGGATAAAAGAGCATGATGAAGTGTGTGTGGAGAGATGAGAAGTACCGCAAGCTTACAACTGCGCATTGCCGTATCCATCAGGCTTCAATCCCACGGCCAGTCCCACGATGATGGCCGGTGCGCCTGAAACACAAGAGCAGCTCACATTACCACGACGCAAGTAAAGCACTAGCACATGACACAGCCTCTCTCTCTCTCTCTCAGCCGTATTTAACTCAGTAACGCATGTCTATCTCACCTCACTCATCAACTCCATCATGGATCGCCTTCGCAAGAGAATGACGCCGTAGCCTAGTATTAGATTCAACACACAAGAAGCCTTCTACAGTAATATTTCGAAATGTATATAGACTGGGTCCATTGACAGCAGAGTAGAAGTTATACAGGGTTTCAGTGATTCCCTACTGTAGCCTAAACAGCATCATTAGAGTTATACAGGTTTAAGCGGAATTTCCTACATTAAGCCTGAACACATAGTAGGAAAGTTTTTGTATACAGGGTTTCTAGTGAATTCCCTACCGTAGCCTAACACATAGTAGGAAGTGTATACAGGGTTTCATGAAATCCCTACAATTTGCCTAACACATAGTAGAAGTTATACAAGCGGTTTCAGTGAATCCCTACCGTAAGCCTAGCACATAGTTAGAAGTTATACAGGGTTTCAGTGAATTTCCCTACCATTAGCCTAACACATAGTGAGAAGTTATAAGGGTTCAGTGAATCACTACCAAGGTCCTAACACAATAGTAGAAGCTTATACAGGGTTTCAGGCTGAATCCCTACCATAGCCTAGCACGTAGTGAAAGTTATACCAGCGTCCCCTCCCCCCCCCCCCCCCCCCCCCCCCCCCCCCCCCTGGCGTTTCAGTGCAATCCCTACGTACCTAACACATAGTAGAAGTTATTAAAGGGTTTCAGTGAGATCCTACCATAGCCTAACACATCGCTAGAAGTTATACAGGGTTTCAGGTGAATCCCTACCGCTAGCCTAGCAGTGTAGTAGGAAGTTATACAGGGTTTCGAGTTAACTCCCTACCCATAGCTAACACATAGCTAGAAGTTATACAGGGTTGTCAGTGAATCCCTACCAGTAGCCTAGCATTGTAGTAGAAGTGTAATTACAGGGTTTCAGTAACTCCCTACATATAGCCTAACACATCAGTAGAAGTTCTACAGGGTTTCAGTGAATCCTTACCGTAGCCTAGCACATAGTAGAAGTTATACAGGGTTTCAGCTGAATCCCATACCAGTCAGCCGGTAACATGTATAGAAGCTAATACAGGGTTTCAAGTGCAATCCCTACGTAGCCTAGCAACGTAGTAGAATTATACCAGGGTTCAGTAAACTCCCTACCATTAGGCCTAAGCACATAGTGAAGTGTCATACGAGGCTGTTTCAGTGAATCCCCTACCATAGCTAGCAACTAGTAGGAAATGTATCAGTGGGTTTTCAGGAATCGCCTCACGTAGGCTATCACGTAGTAGAAGTTAATACAGTGGTTTCAGTGAAGTGCCCTACTCGTAGCCTAGCAGCGTAGTAGAAGTTATACAGGGTTTCACGGAATCCCTACATTATGCCTAACACATTAGTAGAAGTATATACAGGGTTCAGGTGAATCCCCCGTACCGTAGCTAAGCACGTAGTAAGAAGCGCATCTGGCCATGGTTAATGTCTCGACATCTCGGTCAGCTATCCGGTAGAGATGCCATGACTTCGACGAAGATCCAGCTGAACGTGACACCAGAAGAAAGTAGTGGCCAGCAAGATGGCCACCACCTTACATCCAACCTGTAATGGGAATAAGCAGTTGTGATGCAGCGATAGCATCTATCCTCTATCTCTCTCTATCCTTTCTTCCTGCTTTTGTCTTTTTTCTTACTCCCTATCTCTCTCGCTCTCTCTCACTTTCAGCACCTCTGATTCTCTCACTATCTGCTCTCTCTCTCTCGCTCTCCCCTCTCCCTCTCGTTAGCCTCTCTCACACTCTCCCTCACCCTCTCTCTCCTCTCCCTCTCACCCTCTCTCTCCCCCGTCCTCCCTCTCCACTCACCTCATTCTGTGTTTGGTTGATGCCAACCAGGAAGATGAGTCAGCACGAGAAAGATGGAGAGCACGAGATGCTGGTGGATGCTGCTGCTGTTCGTCTGGCATGCCCATCAGGCAGCAGAAGATAACGAGCCGCTGCGCACGAGGCAGACGAGCGAGATTCCTCGGGATACGATGTAGGTGACGACCGCTAGCGGCCACCGCGCTCGGTCCTCGTACCTAGAATGCAGAGAAGGTGGTTAGCGTGACATTGTCCAGTCTATACTATGCTACTGCTGCTCGATACTGCTGCTGCTGCTGCTAGCTGCTATCGCTGTGTGCTGCTGCACTGCTGCTACTGCCTGCTACTGCTGCTGCTGCTGCCTACTGCTGCTGCTGCTTGCTAACTGCTGCTACTGCTGCTGCTTGCTGCTACTTGCTGCTGCTGCTACTACTGCTATTACTGATGCTACTGTGCTGCTATTTGCTGCTACTGGCTGCTACTGCTGCTACTGAGGGTGTAGCATTACATTAGTCCACAAGGCACTTTGGAAGTTTCAATAATCGGAAAATTGATGCTAAATAAAAACACAAACATTGTTTTTTTTTTCTATATTATTTCGAGCTAGACTCGTCGCTCCTCGTACTAGACAGGGATTAGGATGAGGAAAAGAGAGTTGAAATATAGATTTTACATTGTTAACCGTACCCCCCAATATTATTACATATTATCAGGAGTAAGATAATATAGGATATCCTATATTATCTTACTCCTGATATTATCAGGACAGAGAATAAACGTTAATCACACCAATTTATATCCATTATCTCTCTCTGCTGTATCTGTTACCTCTTTGCTATTAACTTCTCGTCTGCCAACAACCATGACTAACAGCACAATTAATGACGAATCACAAGCTACGTGCGAGAAAACAAGTGCGGGCGGAGTGATGGGGAGACTGCGCGAGACAGTTGGTAGTAACGAGACCGGTAATACATTATTAATCAGATGCTCACCTCTATGGCTGACACGTCCATGATGACGGCGTAGATGCTGAGGTGATTAGAGGAACAACGGACGTGCGTGGCGTTCCTAGTCTCCGTCACGCAGCCCTTTCGGACCATTCTCCAGCGCTCTGTAAAGATAACAATGAGTCATCCCTGACACTGTTACATCTCCTAGTCTGGACCCTTATTCTCAATCACCACGTAACTCTACTCCAACAGACTCCAGAATTCCGACAACCGCTACTTATTCCGATCTCCACTATATTGCTGCCAACCCTGCAGCGGGACTCACCGTTTATTGCTGGCAGGGTGCCAGGAGTACAGGACTCACCGCTTATTGCTGGCAGGATCCCAAGACTCACCGTTTACTGCTGGCAGGGTGCCAGGACTCACCGCTTATTGCTGGCAGGATCCCAAGACTCACCGTTTACTGCTGGGCAGTGCCAGGACTCACCGTTTATTGCTGGCAGGGTGCCAGGACTCACCGTTTATTGCTGGCAGGGTGCCAGGACTCACCGTTTATTGCTGGCACAGGGTTCAGAGCTCACCGTGTAGTGCTGGCAGGGTGCCAAGACTCACCGTGTATTGCTGGCAGTGGTGCCAGGACTCACGCGGTCGTACTGCTTGGCAGGGTGCCAGTACTCACCGGTGTTATTCTGGCAGCGCCGCGGTGCCAGGACTTTCACCGTTCGAGGTTTGGTACTACCCGGCAGGTACAGTGTATGAGTTACATGCTTAATACACACGACTACAGAAATCCTTATGCTAGGTGAGTGAGGTGCTTGCGCACGTTGCCAGTGCGCTCGACGTTCTTGCATGGCAGGATGCCAGTAGCTCACCGTATTTATTTGCCTGGCAGGGCTTGTGCCATGGGGAGTTTGATTCGATACCTATATATTGCTGGCAGAGGTGCCAGGACCACCGTTTATTTGCGGCAGATTGGGCAGTAGTCGGGTGTATGTTCGTGAGGTTTCGCAGATGACTACATGCACACACCAGTATACCGGATTT